TTTCGAACTGCTGACCTTAAGGTTCGCAACCCGATTCGTAACCACTACGCTACCAGAGCTCCTTAACAACATAGGGTTTCTAAATTGTGTCTGGTGAGTTGGAACCACCAACTTGTAGTCCAAACCAAACTTTCCATTTAGTGCTTTATCCTACAGCACCACACCAGGACTCCTGCACTGTCTCTGACAAAATTCTGGTGCTATTCAACATGTTTCAGTAGTCAGTATTCTGGTGCTGACAGTGTTTCAGTGCAATTCACAGGTTTTCAGTGGCTAAAAACTCAGGAGTGGAGAATTTTGTTTCCCCTCCTTCACCAGAATTTCTATCTAAATTATTTGGATTCTTTGGCATAGGAGATTTGTCTCTTATTTATTCAATCATGCATCTCAATGTGAATTCATGGGTGTTTAATTAATACTTTGAGTTACAATGCATTAGTATATATTTTTTTCATTAGTTTATTTTATTGCTCATATTGTTTCAGCTTTCGTGATTGAGAACTCTTCTAGTTGGTGTCTGTGCCTTTTTGACATTTCCTCACTGAAGCATTTTTTTTTTTTAATCTTTTGAGCACTTCCTTACTTTGTGGTGGTGGTGATTATTTGCCACAAACTCAGTTCCAACTTATAGCAATTTTGTATAGGGTTTCCAAGGCTGTAAATAGTAACAGGAGCATAAAGTCTTATCTTTCTCCCACTGAGAAAATTGGTAGATCAGAATGGAGTAAAGCTTTTGGGGCCTTCATTTGCTGATGGGACTCCCCTAAGGTCAGGAAAACAGCTACAAACATCCATTAATAATTGGGACATGGAATGTTTGACTGTGTGGATCATGACAAGCTATGGACAACATTGAGAATAAATATTCCAGAACACTAAATTGTGCTCATGAGGAAGCTATGCCTAGACCAAGAGGCAGTCATTCGAACAGAAGAAGGGGACACTGTATGGTTGAAAATTAGGAAAGGTGTGTCTCAGGGTTGTATTCGTTCACCAATCTGCATGCTGAGCATATAATCTGAGAAACTGGATTATATGAAGAAGAATGTAGCATCAGGATTGGAGGAAGGCTCATTAACAACCTGCATTATGCAGATGATACAACTTTGCTTACTGAAAGCGAAGGGGACTTAAAATGCTTTCACTGTAAAGAAAACAAAAATCCTCACCACTGGACCAATAAATAACATGATAAATAGATAAAAGATTGAAGTTGTCAACAACTTCATTTTGCTTGGATCCACCATCAAGCTTCGCAGAAACAGCAGTCAAAAAAATCAAACGAAGTATTACATTAGGCAAATCGGCACAAAACCTCTTTAAAGTGTTCAAGAGCAAAGATGTTAGTTTGAATTAGGTGTGCCTGACCCAAGTCATGGTAATTTCAACAGCCTCATATGTATGTGAAAGTTGGACACTGAATAAGGAAAACCGTAGAATTGATGCATTTGAGTGATTGTTTTGGAGACTATTAAAGGTACCATGGACTGCCAGAAAAACACATACATCTATCTGTGTTAGAGAGAGTACAGCCAGAATGCTACTTAGAAGTCAAGATGGTTAGACTTCGTCACTCATACGTTGGACATATAACAGGAGGGGCCAGGCCCTGGAGAAGGACATCATGTTTGGTAAAGTGGAAGGGCAGTAAAAAAGAGGGAGACCTCTAAGGAGATGGATTGGTACACTGGTAACAGCAGTAGGCTGGGTGGTGTTTTTCTGTTGAATATAGCATCAAATTGGGTGGGAATCAACTCAACAGCATCTAACAACAACAAAAGCGTGGGCTGCAAAGAGTAACTTTTTTTCCAGAGAGTACAACAATGTGGGAAGGGAGGCACAGAGTCACTTCACAGGACCCAAATTTGAGAAAACCACCTCAGTGTCCTAGCTACCTAGAGCTGCTCTAACAGAAATGCAAGTGGGAGGCTGTAACAAACGTATTCTCTCACAGTTTAGTAAAGGAGCTCTGGTAGCATAGTGGTTATGAGTTGAGCTGCTAACCTCAAGGTCAGCAGTTTGAAACTACTAGCTGTTCTGCAGGAGAAAGAAGAGGCTTTCTGCTCCCGTAAAGATTTACAGCCTTGGAAATCCTATGCAGGGTGGTGGAGTCACAACCGGCTCCACAACACATAACCACTACAGTTTAGGAAGCTAGAAGTCCAAATTCAGGGTGCCAGCTCTAGGGGAAACTTCTCTATATTGGTCCTGAGGTAAGGTCCTTGTCTCCTTTCAACAATTGTGAGGCCAGGATTTCCTGAAGATCTGACATGTCTTGATATCAGTCTTCCCCCTGGGTCTATGAGGTTCTCAGCATGCAGGGATCCAAGTCCCTCTTCTCAATACCAACAAGTTTATTCTTGTTGGTCCTGAGGTCCCTCCTCTTTCATTTGATCTCTAAGATAAAAGGTCCAATCCCAAGGAAGCTCCCCCTTCCCTTACACTTCAGTCAGGGCTATGATCCAAGTAAGGGCGTTGTATCCTAACCTAATCTCTACAAGTGATTGGCTGATCATATCAGATCAAATCAAATCAGGAATAACTGCCAAATCACTAACTGCCTAGTCAAGTTAACACATTCAACCCATGATGCTCAGCAAGGAGACCAAGGTCAGAATTGGCAGTGAGTCCTGATGTGGCACTGTGACTTAATGTGCTGGACTGCAAAGTCGTTTGAACTGCAAAGTTGGTGGTTCAAGCTCACCAACTGCCTCCTTGGAAACCCTATACAGGGTCACTATGGGTTGGAACCGACTCGACCGCACTTATCAAACAACAATCATATTATTATGGACCCTTGGCATGCGGCTGCTGGGGACAGCATACACAGACCCTGGGTTGATCAGTAGCAGCCCCATTATACCGCCTCTGAATATAATCAGTTTAACCCAGATGCTCTCCTTCCTCCTGAAAGTATGTGATAATTAAGAACAATGTAGCATTTTAGATATAGATAAAAGAAGCCCAGTGCCTGAGATCTTGCTCACAAACAAAAGTTTGCAAAGTGTACAGAGACAGCTTGGCTCCTTTCAGGAACCTTGCTTTATGGTAAGTACCCTTGAGAAACTGCACGTTGATGCTCTAGATCATTTAAGCCTAAAAGTTTATATATATAACAGCTTGATTGAACCTTTTTTCTGTAGAAATAAAAATGTTAGATTGTTAAGAAAACCATGAAAATATCTTAAAAGTTGTTCCTGTGAATCATTATGTCCTGTTTTGAATGATTAATCACATTTCAGTTCCGTATCCTGTCTTAATCACATCTTCCCTTTGCGAAATTACATCCTCCCTTTGTGAATTACATGCTTCCTTTGTAACAAATCCCTCCCTAAAAAAGAGAATAAAAGACTGAGGTAGAGTTAGATCTGTATGCAATGCTGTGCAATGCTAGGCAATATGTTTGCCGATCTGTCTACCTGCCAGCTTGCATCATATCTATGTGTCTTTTTTGTATATATTTCATCTCTTTATCCCTTTGGCCGCCAGATCTCCCTTCTTTGTGACACCCACACTTCCTTGTCGAGGCTGGAACCCGACATAGGACCTCAACATGAGGCATATGATGGCTTTGTATAAGCACAGGACTGCAAACCACAAGGTTGGTGGTTTAAGCCCACCTGCCGCTCCATGGGCAAAAGATGAGGCTTTCTGTTCCCCCAAAGGTTTAGTCTCAGAAACCTTATACAGGTTCACTGAGTCAGAACCGACTCGATAGCCCTAAACAATCCTTGTTGTTATAAAAATGTCTCTTTATTTCTGAGATCTCCCTAATAATGAAAAATATATATCAAAATTTCAATAGCAGTGTATGCTACAGAGATTACAATGTGGGAAGAGAGGGGATGAGAGTCACTTCACAATGACTTTGCAAGGTCAAAAGCATCTAGGTCATCAAAGACAAGGCAACTCTGAGAAATGGTTACTATCTAGAGGATCCTAAGGAGGTATGATGAGTAATAGCATGTAAGGGTGGGGTCCTGGATGAGAAAGCCATGCATTACAGTCTAAGAAGATGTGAATAAAGTATGGACTTTAGTCAGTGATGTATCACAATTGGTTGATAATTTTAACAAATGCTCCATACAGATATAAGATACTAATATAGGAGAAACTAGGTGAGGAGGTAGATGGGCAATCTCTGGAGTGTGTTCTCAATTGTTCTACCATTCTAAAACACAAAGTCTATTTAAATTTTTTTGTAAGTTTCAATAGGTACACACAGGAATCTAAGAAGAAAACCTAAAGCTGTACTAAACCAGCAATAGTTTTACGGTAATTTCCTTACTTTTGAATTGCTTTTATGAAAGACACACTCATGTATTACTAGAAAAATTTTTGAGCTATATTAGAAAAAGGTAAAACACCAAGTAAAAAGAACCCACCTCGATGTTAAGTGCCGTGGAGTCAGTTCCAACTCACAGTGACTCTGTATAGGGTTTCTGAGGAATGGCTGGTGAGTTTTAACTGCCAACACCTTGTGGTTCAAACCAATCTTTAGGTCTCGTGCTTATCCTACGGCAGCTGTTTTGTTTTTATTGTTTCAATAGGTATACACAGGACTGTAAAGCAGAAGAAAGTCTAAGGATATACTAAACCAACAACAGTTGTACAGTAATTTCTTTACTTGTACGGAGTGAATTGTTTTTATGGAAGCAACATACTACTATAAAAATGTATTGAATTAAAAAAGGGTAAAAGAAAGTAAAACCCACGTTAGGCTACCTCTTCTGAGCAGAAAAATTTTATTCCTTTTAATGACAAACAATTAAACCACATCCAAGGCCGTAACTTACAGACAAACCAAAGTAGCCATTGAAAGCATTAGATATTAAGATACAAGACATACAATGGGGATCTAGGGGGAATGCTTCACTATGGGAAGCTTACACCAAACCTTGCTGAATCAACAGTGGGGCTCTGCTAGTAGCGTGGATATGGCTGAGGGTAGGCGTGTTCCTGCAGAACTGAAGAACAGCTGTGCTTTTTACAAGGACCGAAGCATTTTAGACAGCACTGATAGGAACGTGTTTTCATGTTGAAGGGAAGAGGGAACCAGCTCCCTCCCATAGGGCATTAGGCTGCCTTGCAGAGGGCCACAGCGGAGAAGCGGACCTCCCCTTGCTCACGCTCAGTGAATTCTCTGCAGACTTTGGCTGCATCCTGAAAAGAAAGGAATGTCATTAATACCCCAAAGGCAACAGCTCACAGGGAAAGTTTCAAATAGAAAAGCACTTCTAAGGCTTCTTTGTGTGCAAAAGTTCACCCAGATACATTGTAAATCTTCCGTTAACCTTAACCTTGACCCAAATGAGTGAAGTCCGGAACTCTGCCTATTCTTTATTCAGATTCTCTCATGAAAATCCCTCCACCCTTGCCTCTCTAAGGTTTTCTCTGATTTCACATTCCTGGTATATACAAGAATCAGCTTAACAGTTCAAAATATTCTCAGGTAGGAGGAGCCAACAGACTAGAGACCCTCCCCTCCTAGGATTTGAGAAGACCACCAGACTGAGGAAACCCAGGAACACACCGTAGAGTTGCTTTTCAGAAGCTCTGACCAAGACTTCTACCATCTATGCCTGGCTAAGCGAGAAAATGATTCATTCTTTTCCTCAAATCAAAACAAGGCAGGAAACTGATCTCTCTTCCTACCTCAGAAATTCCCAGTGTTTAGAAACACATGTCTACTAAGCAAACTTTTTGTAAAACAGCCTTAAAGTTTAAAGCAGGGGTATGAACCAGTTCACTCTAGTTTCAGAATCTGCATTTCCACCCCAGATATACAAAATCAGCATCTACATTTTTAAAAGACCATCAGGTGATTGGGATCTTGTTAAAATGTAGATTCTCATTCAGTATATCTGCAGTGGAAATGCAAATTCCCAGCAGAAGGCTGAAATGGAATGAATTAGTTTAAAGCCCTGGCTTAAAGTAAACACCTGGTATTCCAGGTACAGGTACAATGAGATATTTATGGTGGAATGACATGAGTTACAACTTCTAAGACCAAAATTACAAAGGCTGGTAACTGAAAATGGATTCCAGTGTTAGTTATCAAATTCTGTAGCATTTCTATGCCTTGGGAGCACAAATATCCATTGCTCTTCTATTAGTAAAGAAATGCAGTGGATTCAGCGCAAAGGCAGCTCAACTCCACAAGCCAGAGATGTAGGACTTCTCAGAAGAATGCAAACACTCTATGCCGCATGGACCATAAGAGAGCGTGAGTTCCCGGAGTCCAGAAAACACCAATTGGATCATGAGTTTGAGCCACATTGAAGTTTCTTCCAGCTCTCCTGCTTTGGGACCACTTTTACAAACTTTAAGGATCCACACTTTATTCTATAGAATTCTTATCATCTTGATATTCCAGATCACCGCTCTCTAAACCAAGGCTTTCCTAAACAATCAGTTACTAATTGATATTAGGTGTAAACCTTTAAAGAGACCAGGCCAACTCCTAGACAGACAGCTTACTGAGTAGAGATCAAACTCATTCAACTTTGGAATACTAGGGATAATGTTATTTTCTCCTGGGTTTAATGATTCACTTAGCATATAGTTTAGAACATCTAAAAACCATCTTTAAACATATAGAACCATTCTTACTAAGAGTAAGAATTGTAGCTAATTAAGATGCTGCCTTCTATTCATTCAAAGTGAGACCCTAAACAGAGAAGATAGCTTTTATTTTTCTTATGCAAAAATATCTGTCTTTCCCGAATCTCAAAAATTCTACTCCTGTTAAGTTTTAGTCATCCTACATGAAGTGAATTCATCCCCGGCAAGATGGCTTGGCAAAGTGGCAGCATCAATGGGCTCAGGCATGGCGACAATTGTGAGGTCGGCCCTGGACCGGGCAGTGTTTCGTTCTGTTGTGCATAGGGTCTCTATGAGTCGGTACCGACTCAATGGCACCTAACAACACCAACATGAAGTGGTACAGTGGTTAAGTATTGGCTACTAACTGAAAGATCAGCACTTTGAACCCAACTGTTGCGTAAGAGAAAGATACAGCAAACAGTCTGCTTCCAAAAGGATTGCTGTTGTTGGTGTTAAGTGCCGTAGAGTCGGTTCCGAGTCATAGTGACCCTCTGTGTAGTAGGGTTTCCGAGGAGCAGCTTGTGGTTTGCAGTCCAGCGCTGATTCTATAGTGTCACACCAGAAGTCCCCGCCTAGTAAACCCATTGGGCCAGTTCTACTGTATCCTTTAGGATAGCTAAGAATTAAAATGGACTTAAAAGGCCAACAGGTAAAATATGTGAGCCATTTTATAATATTAGTATAGAATTGGAATCCTAGTGTGGCGTTATAGGATCAGCACTGGACTGTGAACCATAAAGTCAGTGGTTCAAACCTACCAGCTGCTCCTAGGAAATGCCACACAGAGTGGCTATGAGTGGGAACCAACTCAATGGCACTTAACAAGGAGTTCAGAATTAGGTAAGAATTAGTATACACTGTAGAAACTTTACTAGAAGTCTTTCCTCCAAATAGATCAAGTCAAGACATTCTGCCTCTGTTCTTTATTCTGACTCTACGCAACCCATACGTGATCTCTTCCTCCAATCCTCTCTTTCGCTCCATGTAACTATCCCCACACAGTGCTTGTAGATACAAGAATTTGCTCTGGGCACACTAGAGAAGGTGACCCTCCCGCTCAGAGTGGCATAATCTGGTCCACTGGTACCTTTAAGAGCCCTGGTGTGGTGCCACAGGGTAACACTGAACAGCAAGGTCAGTCTGAACCACAAGATCGGCGGTTCAAACTCACCAGCCACTCCTTGGAAACCATATACAGAGTCACTACAAGTCAGAACCAACTAAATGGCACTTGACCACAGCAAGCACCTTTAGGTTGCCAGGCCCATGCTGTGCTAAAGACAGACTTAGTACTGTGTTAAAAGCACAGGCTCGAAAAGCACACTCTAGGTTTGAAGCGCTGGCTTTGCTATGTAAGTCACTGATCACGGGCATTTCCTAACCTCTTTTGCAACCAAGTTTCCTAGTCTGTAAATGGGGTAATGTTGTTGTTAGGTGCCATCGAGTTGGTACCGACTCATAGCAACCCTATGCACAACAGAATGAAACACTGCCTAATCCTGGTCCAACCTCACTAACTGTTGCCATGCTTGAGCCCACTGATGCTGCCACTTTGCCAATCCATCTCTGGGGGGGTCTTCCTCTTTTTCTCTGACCCTCCACCTTACCAAACATGATATCCTTCTCCAGTCACTGGTCCCTCTCCTGACTGCTTAATGACAAAACCATTAAAGGGAGTCTATAATTAAGGTGGTGCTATGGGCTAATGCGTCAGATTGCAAAGTCGTTTGAACTGCCAACTGCTCCTTGGAAACCCTATACATAGTCACTATGGGTTGGATTAGACTCAACAGCACTTTAACAACAACAATAATGAATATAAGTCACTTGACATACTGTCTAGCATAGAGACTGACAAATTACGGCCTCGATCTAGTCTGTTGCATATTTTTGTACATCATGTTTATTGGAACACAGTCGTGTCCAATCATTTATATCACAGGACTTCAAAAAGTTCATGGAATTTTTAAGAATTCCATTTATCCATGAACACTTTTAAGCCCCAACCTCTGGTAGCATAGTGGTTACGAATCAGGCTGCTAATCTCACAGTCAGCAGTTCGAAACTACCAGCTGTTCTGCAGGAGAAAGATGAGGCTTTCTGCTCCTATAAAAATTTACAGCCTCGGAAACCCTGTACAGGGTCACTAAGTCAGAACCAACTCCACAGCACATAACAACAACATTATACCGTCTGGAGTCCTGGTGTGACACTGTGGGTTAATGAGCTGGACTTCAAGTCACTTTGGAGTGCAAAGTTAGTCTGAACAGCAAGGCTGGCGGTTCAAGCTCATCAGATGTTCCTCGGAAACCCTATAATGGGGCACTATGGGTCAGAACTGATTTGACAACAACATTATATTGTGTAGTGGTTTTGGAGTTTTAATGGCTTTGGAACTGGAACAATAGAGTTGAATACTGGCAACAGACATCATGTGTCTAAAATATTACCTGTCCCTGTGGCTTTTTAACACACAGTCAAGTGCTCAAAGATGAGCTATTACAACTACAAATGGAACAGTTGTATATAATCATTATATGTTGTTGTGAAGTGCTGTTGAGTCGGTTCTGACCTGTAGCGACTCTGTACAGGGTTTTCGAGGAGCAGCTGGTGAGTTTGAACCGCTGACCTTGCAGTTCAAATGGCTTTGCAGTCTGGCACATTAACCCACAGTGCCACACCAGGACTCCATAATCATTATATACATTTACATAATTAAAAATGTTGTTAAAACAAATTGATTTAATGCTAGACTCATTTCTAGGATGATAAACTTGTGTCTAGAATTGAGAGAGGCATCATACTTGGTAAAGGAGTAGGTAAGCAGAAAAAGACGACGCTTCCCAAGCTGGATTAACAGTGTTCATAACAATGTGAGGATGGCACAGGATCAGGCAGTTTCGTTTTGTTGTTAAGAGTAGGAATAGACTCACTGGGACCTACACTACCACCTTCTCATTACAACCTGAATAGAACTGGGAGTTATCACGGTTTTAAAGAAAAACCTTTATACATTGATAATCACAGTATGATTTATGTAGACTGAAGGAAAAAAGTTCCCACTACTTGTATTAGGAGGGTTACAGGGATCCTGAATGTTGCAATTCTTATAAAACATCTTTTAAATCTGCTCCTCTCAGCCTCATCATGGAAGCTGTTGTTATTGTAAAGTGCTCTCAAGTCGGTTCTGACTCATAGCAACCCTGTATAGGGTTTCCAAGGAGCAGGGGGTTGAGTTCAAACTGTTGACCTCGTGGTTCTAACTGACCTTGTGGTCCAGTGCTTTATCCCACAGCGTCATGCCAGGACACCATGGAAGAAGCAGTCAAGAAATCAAACGATGTATTGCCTTAGCCATATCTGCTGCACAAGACCTCTATGAAGTGTTCAAGAACAAAGATGACAGTTTGAAGACTAAAGTGAGCCTGACCCAAGCTAGGGTATTTTCATTAGCCTCATATGCATATGAAAGTTAGACAGTGAATAAGGAAGACCATAGAAGAATCGATGCATTTGAGTTATGGTGTTGGAGCAGAATATTGAAAGTGCGATGAACTGCCAGAAGAGCAAACAAATCTGTGTTAGAAGTACAGCCAGAGTGCTCCTTAGAAGCCAGGGTGACCAGACTTCATCTCTCACATACTTCGTACATAATATCAGTAGGGACCAGCCCTGGAGAAGGATATCATAGTTGGTAAAGCGGAAGGTCCATGCAAATGAGGAAGAAGACCCCCATCGAAGTGGACTGGCACTGCAGCAGCAGCAGCAATGCGTTCAAGCTTAATGATGATTATGAGGCTGGTGGAGGACTGGGCAGTGTTTCAGTCTGTTCTTACAGTTGCTATGAGTCAGAACTGACATAGCAGCACCTGACACAGCGTAACAGCACCTAACAACAACACTCCAGGTCTGAACAGTGGGTCATGTAAGAGGTTTATCACCTGTACCCAACTGTTCAACTAGAATCCCTAGTACACAGCCTAATAGACTGAGCCACATTCAGTCATCCTGGAGGACTCAGGAAAGGCTGAACTCAGGTTGCTGTTACTAAGCCTTCAGTTCTAATATAATTTAACAGGGCACTGGTCACCTTACTCCCACAGTGAACGAAAGCACTGGCTACCAGTAAATTAAGACAGTACACGATACAGATTTGTCAAGGCTCCTCTAAAGAATCCTTTTTAAAATAATGGGCTATAAAATAGGCAGAATTACTTAAAATGGTCTTTGAGTCCTAAAGACTGCTAACTAACCTGGACTATTGGTGCCACTCATCCAAGCATTAGCACTTTAGAAGAGCCATTTGGCTAAAATATGATCCCTAGAGAGATATGGAGTCTAGAAATTACCTGCAGTAGAGAGTCCTCTGAGCTGGTGCCATGGTTCACTGGAAAAGGCATCCGACCATCTAGAACAAAGAAACCCACCAAGTTCATTTCCTCTGCATTTTCTAACTGCTGGGCTTGCCCAGCCCCTAGGGAAGTTTTAGACTCTTGTGAATATCACTGTCACAAAGGGAAGACTGGTGTTCCCATACATCCTTCCCAAGCAATCCTCATCTGTAATATGTCACATGAGGCCAATCCAGCTGTCCTGATACAGGAGTCTTGTGCCCACCTACAGAGCATAAGTCAGAAGCTGTGTCTTCAGTATGGATTATTGAGGTAAGCAGGCATCTCTGGAGCTCTCAATTGCTCCTCAGTGACTAGTGATGGACCCCAAGTCTCCTTTGCCCTTGTTTGCCAAAAGGAAAGCCCATTACTACAAACGGAGGAGAAATGTCCAAGATAGGTAATCTTCCTTCTTGTCCTAAGTTAACAGAAATCACACTGACACACACAAATTCTTCTTACACTAGCAGGGTTAGATTCAAGCATTGATCTTTTTTCTCAAAGTGTTCTGTACCTGAAAAGGATGATGCTAGAGACCAGTTACTGGCAATGCTGGGGGAAGTAGGAAGAGTAAGCCTGAAAACATTATGTATACAACAGGTGCCAACTTACTCTCTACTGGTTCCTGACTAAAGACATTCATTTTTCAAGTCAGTTGGCTCTGAGAGTTCTGGATACAATACATGATTAAATACTCCCATAAGTCAGTTTTGAATCAAATAGCTGACAAGCCTGTATTAAGCATTATACTGTTTCCAACAGCCAACTGGAAAGGACAGGAAAGAGGCTGGAGTGGGTGGGGGTTGGGGTGTGCATTCAGTTTGTGTTAATGGTGGTCAAATAGTTTTTAAAAGGTTATCAAGATCCCCAGTGTCACTGAGCTGCTGTGGAGGACTAAGCAGCCTCCCACAAGCTCCCTTGCACGTCCGTCCCCACAGCCTGCCTTCTCCCGGTGCCAACTTCCACAAGCTGTTTCCACCGAGGAATCTTATCGCATGTCAGCTATCCAGAACCTCCACTCTGTCAACCCCTTTGCTGAGGCAAGTAAGAGTGATGACCTGCTTTCTGCTGGGACTGAGAATTATATCCATAAGAAGTCAACAGAGAAATGGCAGGAAGACCCTTACTACTTGTCCAAGGGATCGCTGATGGTTATGATAAAAATGAAGGCGTTTAAGAAATTTGCCTGCAATGGTAGTGTAATTGAGCATCCAGAATATGGAGAAGTAATTCAACTACAGGGCGACCAGCACAAGAACATATGCCAATTCCTTGTAGAGATTGCACTGGCAAGGACAACCAGCTGAAGGGTCATGGGTTTTAAATGCTTGTGGCTCACTGAAGCTTAAGTGAGGATTTCCTTGCAATGAGTAGAAAATTTCCCTCTGTGCCTTGTCACATGTTTAAAACCTCACAGCATGTATAATGTCCACTTTTAACTTGGACTAGTGTTGACACTCCTTCATGCAATAAACTGAAAACAGCCAAACAATTTTAAAGGTGACACAACTTGAAGAATGTAACCAGTTATCACTGAATAATACATGTTGAAACTGTTGAAGTGATGTAGGTTTTTCTGTGTATCCTCACCAAAAAAAAAATTAATGCTCCCACAAAACACCTTGTTGTTTTGACTTCTTAAAAGCTACATACGGAGTGAAACTTACCTAGTTCATAGAGGTGGCCATCCACGTTGTTAAACAGAATAAAGTGAAAGTTTATTTTGTCATCTACCTGAAAAATAGTTAAAGAACTTATTTAAAATCAGCAATTTTAAGTTGAACTTGTAGAAAAATAAGTTCTCTCAGTATTCAAATGCAATTTGCATGAACCAACATGCTTCTACTTCATGAACAATTACTACAGGTATATTTGTGAATTTCCTACACACTAGGTGCTGGTCATCTCTCATACTTTGGACATATTGTCAGGAGGGAACAATCGCTGGAGAAGGATATCATGTTTGGTAAGCTGGAGGGTCAGAGAAAAATAGGAAGACCCTCAACGAGATGGATTGACCAAGTGGCAGCATCGATGGACTCAAGTGTGGCAACAGTCGTGAGGTTGGCCCAGGATTGGGCATTGTTTCATTCTGCTGTGCATAAGGTCGCTATATATTGTGCTGACTTGATGGCGCCTAATATATATATTGTGCCAACTCGATGGCACCTAACAACAACAACAACAAGGTGCTGGTCTAAGCTCCTTAGGGTAGCAACGGTGTGCCTTTAAGAACTCTATGAGAAGGGGAGCAAGGTTAAGGGAAAGTGTCACACCCAAGATCAAGGTCAAATCCACCGACAGTTGTTTTAAAGTTACTGTCTTAACAGGAGTCTTCTTGGTGAACATGGTTAATGATTTGGCTAGTAACAAAAAGATTGGTAGCTCAAACCTGGGCACTGGCTATTCGGAAGACTTGGTGATGTGCTTCCAACAAGAGTACAGTGAAGAAAACCCTATGGGGCAGTTCTATTCCATCACATGGGATCACTGTGAAGTACAATCAACTCAATGGCAGACAACAATGACTTAAATATTTATCAGCAACTGACTTGGAGGTTTTGTTCAGATTTTAGTACCTACAAACCTTCTAGAAATTGTCAGTCTTTCTTAGTATATCTTTCTCTCTACAAAACAGAGGATGAGAAGACTATTTGAAATGCTCAATTAGGAGCTCTGGCAGCGCAGTGGTTACGAATCAGGCTGCAAACTTTAAGATCACCAGTTTGAAACTACCAGCTGTTCCACAGGAGAAAGATAAGTCTTTTTGCTCCCGTAAAGATTTACAGCCTTGGAAACTCTGTACAGGATTGTTATGAGTCGGAACCAACTCCACGGCACATAACAAACCAACCAACCAGTCACTCCATAAAACTCAATGGGATCTCAACAAAATACTCTTCCTCTGAATTTACCAAAGACTGTATCAACTGCCAACTAGAGTTTCTTCTTAACGTTTTATTGTGAATTGAGTGAAGGTTCACAGAGCAGATCCGTTTTCCATTCGAAAATTTATACACTTCTTTTTTCATGTCATTGATTGCAATCCTCCCAATGTAACAGCACTTATCCTACTTTCTGTGTTTCCTGTTTCCATTCCTCTTATTTCTGAGCTTTGTCCTCACGTAAATGCTGCCCTTCTGATCTCAGTCAATTATTTTAACATGTGCAGACCTCACTACTGTTACTGTTCTCCTTATAGATCTATTGTTTGGCTGAAAATTGAGCTGGGGGGGTGAGTTCATTTTCAGACCTGCAAGGTAGCTGAGGGCAATCATCTCGGGGGTGCCACCAGTCTATCTGATCAGTAAGTTTGGGGTTTTTGGTTGTTGTTTTTTTTAATGATTTTGAGTTTTGTTTCACATTTCTCTCCTACTCTAGCCAGGACATTCTAATGTGATCTCTCCTTTCAGAGCAATAGATAGTGGCAACAGGGAACCATCTAGTTCTTCAGGGCATGGAGATTGAGGTTTGCATGGGCCATTAGTCCACTGGACTAATTGTTTCCACGCATTTTCAATTGTCATCATCTTCTTTCCTTCAGACAAGAGACCAATAGTTGCACTTAGATGGCCACTGGCTAATGAGTTTTTAAAGACCCTGGTCACTACTCCCCAAAGTAGAATGTTGAACATTATCTCTGTGGTATATGTTATGCCAACTGAACTTAGGTGTCCCCCAAAACTATGGTCTTGAGCCCACAGTCCAGTAATTCATTCAACTCAAGGTATTTGGGTATGTCTAAGAAGTTTTTGTAACTTTGTCCACTGTATACTCCACCACATTAATGGACAGATTTGTAGTAAAGGTAAATACCCATAGACAAATATCCTGTCAAACTTCATATATTTGTGAGTATACACCTACTTTCTCACACCATTCAGCATGCTTATCTATCCAGGCACCCACTAATAGACAGCCATTATTGCAGGATTGTCTGCCAACTAGATTTCTGAAGTCATTATGAATAGCTCTACTAAAACTTCATTTGAGTAGAATTTCCTGGCATCAATTGGCCTTGGGTGAATAGCATTTGCTGGGTTCCCGTAAGAGTTTTGCACACATACTTCAGTACACCAGGCGCTGCCCAGACTGCCCGGCTCTGATCTGTATTTGCACTTACCCGGCACTGGCCTTCCTGCGCCACAGCATCATGGGCAGCCTGGATGGCCTGCAAACACAGAGGAAATAATTAGCACGAAAACATCCGACATGATTTAAACACAATGTTCGGGAAATTTGATTCCTACCTCGTTCTTTTCAAAGCATTTTGCTCTGTCTTCAGGGGACATCTTCTCCGTTTCAGAAAGAAACTGTTTCAGGACTGACCCATTCTCTTTTAAAACAAATGGCATGCATTAACACAGATGCAATGGTGCAGATGGGTTCACATTTATTACTGCACACAACTAGCCATGTTTGGCGACTTGAATCATTAGCATAGCCTCCAACCAAAGCTGTGGACGAGTTCTCCCTTCTCCAGCCCTTCCCTACCCTCACCCTACCCCCGACTACATCCCACCCAGTCAGTCACAGTTGGCCCTTCCATTCCTCCACTGCCAAAGCCCTTTTTGCCTCTGCTCCTGGCCACCTCCAATCATGTGCATTGTCACTACCCACTCGTCTTCCAAGCTCAGCTATCACTCACAGGGCACTTACCCATTCACTACACGTCATTTGTGAGATTTTTAGTGCCATGAAGGGCACAGTTGCCTTGTCTACTGCTGTCTCTGCAGCACCCTCACAGTGCACAAGTCAAAGTTCATAAGGAACAACCTCATCTCAACAACTCTCTTCCCAAGGTTTTTCTTTCAGAGTAGGAAGTTCAATCTCAGTCATTCAGTTATCTGGTGGTTGTGTAGTGTGGAGTCAGTTCCAATTCATAGCAACTCTACATAGGGTGTTTTCAATAACCTCATATGCATGTGAAAGCTGGGCAGTGAATAAGGAAGACGATAGAAGAATTGATGCCTTTGAGTTATGGTGTTGGAGAAGAATATTGAAAGTGCCATGGGCTGCTAAAAGAAACAACAGATCTGTGTTGGAAGAAGTGCAGCCAGAGTGCTCCTTAGAGGTCAAGATGACCAAACTTCATCTCTCATACTTTGGACATATTGTCAGGAGGGAGCAGTCACTGGAGAAGGATATCATGTTTGGTAAGGTGAAGGTCAGAGAAAAAGAGGAAGACCCCCAATGAGATGGACTGGCCAAGTGGCAGCATCGATGGACTCAAGCATGGCAATGGTAGTGAGCTTGGCCCAGGACTGGGCAGTGTTTTGTTCTGCTGTGCTTAAGGTCGCTATGAGTCAATACGGACTCCATGGCACCTAACAACAACAACTGCATAGGGTTTCCGAGGCTGCAAGTCTTTACCAGAGCAGAAAGCCTCATCTTTCTCCCACGGAATGGCTGGTAGTTTCAAACTGCTGACCTTGAGGTTAGAAGGCTGACTTGTTAAGCACTATGCTAGCACATAGCTCCTATTCAGACCTAGCTAGACATTAACACAAAGACATAGCTCCTATCCAGACCTAGCTAGACATTAACACAAAGATCTTCAATTTAAAAGGAAAGTGCTCTCTGCCCAGCCTAGAAACAGCCAACAAAAACATGAGTGCCTTGTGTTTGTTCAGTGTGACTAAAGCTAGGAGACATTGGTTACACAGCTCTAGCAAGAACAATTTTTACATTAAAAGACCTTAACTTGAACTTCTAGCTTTCAACAGTGTTTTGGTTTGTTGTTGTTTTTGAGAAAAAAAAACAAAAAACAAAACTGTTAATGTGAAGCCCCTCTCCAACATTTGGATATGACAAGAATCTCCTCTTCACTTTCTGAGGACTGTGGTTCAGCTGAAGTCTCTGACACCATCATTACCATAGTGACAGAAATGTGAGTGTCCCTGGGGTCACCAGGATGGCAGTGCTCCAGTGAAGTGATGAGACTTATAAAGAACTGGAAAGAAATCACGCTATACCATCTTTCACTATGACTCAGGCAAGCCAATTATCTGAAGAGGCAAACTACAAGATCTAGATGGCATAGCCAGCCAACTGATTTCTAAAGTGTATCAAGAATAGAACCTTGGTCACATTTACCTTGTAAAAAGACAAACAGCGAACCATTAGCTTAGGTTACTCAAGTCTCACCACCACCCAATGTCTTCAATCAGAAGGTGGCACACTACTGCTGCCCATTTCTGTACAAAGTTTGACTGGAGCACAGCCACATCCATTTGTTTATATCCTTTCTATGGTTTCTCTTTTGCTCTATGATAACAGAGTCTGTAGGGTCCCTCAAAACCTAAAATACTTACTCTCTTCTTGTTAAGTGCTGTCTAGTCAGTTCCAACTCAAAGCGACCCTATCTAAGGTTTCTGAGGAATGGCTGGTGGGTTTGAACCACCAACCTGTCATGGAGTAATTGCACAGAGTTAAGTCCAGTGCTTATCCTATAACACTGCACTCTAGCCCTCTATAAAAAGAGGTTTCGTGGAGCTGCTCACACTTACCAACTCTTTCTCAGGAGAAAGATGAAGCTTTCTGCTCCCATAAAGGTTCACAGCCTTGGAAACCCTATATATAGAGTCAGAACTGCCTTGATGGCTGACAGTGAGTTGGAGCCCTCTATAAAGAGTCTGTTGATGCCTGGTTTATTGTTATTCCAATATATTTAAGTGTCATCGATTGTTCCTCTGTAATGTAAAGGCTGATGTCTGTCACCAGATTTTATTCACAGCTGGCTCTTCTAGGGTTTCTACCTGCTGGTGGTGTGGTGAACCACAG